CTCCAACTCCTGGGCTCAAGAGAGTCTCCTGCCTCCGCCTCCCAAGTAGCTGGGACCACAGGCACCCGCCACAACGCCCGGCTATTTTTTGGTTGCAGCCATTATTGTTGTTTGGTGGGTCCGGCCTGGATTTGAACCCGCCACCTTAGGTGTATGTGGCTGGCGCCTTAGCCGCTTGAGACACAGGCGCCGAGCCAAATGATTAGTTCTTGATGATAAAAGTGAGTTCGTCCAATTCTTGTTGCTCTTGGCACAGAGAGGGCCCCTTGCTCTGCTATCTGTTGTGTGGAAGGAAGAAATTCTTGAGAGGAAGGAAAGGTAAAGTCCAGCCTTTCTTCTGATTGGCTAGAAATTCCTGAGGAGGATGCTCATAGGAGGTAGATGCTGGGGTGTGCAGCATGGTGATGCTCAACCTATCAGGCAGGATTTGCATACTTTGTGAACAGGATACCTTACTAATAACTATAGAAAGTCAGACATATGCTTAAATGTTTTTTCAACAAAACATTTTTCAAAACCTATTTTTAAACATTTTTCTCTTAAAACTTGCTATGTTGACTTTATCTTTTTAATGTTTAATGATGAAGCTTCTGTTAAGAGTTTGAGCATTGGCTCGGCGCCTGTGGCTCAGGTAGCTAAGGCACCAGCCACATATTCCTAAGGTGGCAGGTTCGAATCCAGCCCGGACCCGCCAAACAACAATGATGGCTGCAACCAAAAAATAGCCGGACGTTGTGGTGGGCGCCTGTGGTCCCAGCTACTTGGGAGGCTGAGGCAAGAGACTCACTTGAGCCCAGGAGTTGGAGGTTGCTGAGAACTGAGATACCATAGCACTCTACCCAGGGGGACAGCTTGAGGGTCTGTCTCAAAAAAAAAAAAAAAAAAAGAGTTTGAGCATTGCAAAGTCTTAGCTAAGTAGTGCCTGTTTATAACAAAAACATATTTTTCAGACCAATAGCTGTTTACAAGTACCCACCATCAACAGAACTTCCTATATGCCACAAAAAACATGAGTTTGTCTAGCTCCCCTTAACAAAACTCACCTACAGCAGAATCATGAATCTGATCCCCCTTTTCCTTTAATAGACATGTTTTTTTGCCTTTTCTTCTGGCCAACCATTCAAGCAAGCATAAATCTTTTTGAAAACTTTTTCCTTAAAACCAGTAGGCACAGCTCAGTGCCTGTGGCTCAAGTGGCTAAGGCACCAGCCACATACACCTAAAGTGGCGGGTTCTAATCCAGCCTGGGCCGCCAAACAACAATGACAGCTGCAACCAAAAAAAATAGCCGGGCATTGTGGTGGGTGCCTGTGGTCCCAGCTACTTGGGAGGCGGAGGCAGGAGACTCACTTGAGCCCAGGAGTTGGAGGTTGCTGTGAGCTGTGATGTCACGGCACTCTACCCAGGGGGACGGCTTGAGGTTCTGTCTCAAAAAAAAAAAAAACCAGTAGGTACTAAAGAGTTCATAATAGGTAAGTCCATAGACAATTGCAATTTATGCACAATACCAGAAATGAATGAACCAAGTGAGAAAACTTTCTAGAGTTTGAATTTCTTATAAGTTTATTGCCTAGGACATTTACCTGTCCAAAGGCATATCTTCCAAAACATCATGATAATGAGGCTCTATTTCAGAAATATATTGCTTTGCCTACTGGGCTGTGTTTGATTTATTCTAGATTAGGTAGCTTCCTCTGCCTCTTCTTCAAGCTTTTATCACTCTGCCTTACAGCCATCACACTATGAAGAAAAGAACTGGTGTGAGGAACAATACTCCGGAGGCTGCTACACCACCTACTTTCCCCCTGGGATCATGACTCAATATGGAAGGTAGAGTAAAAATGTGCTGAGCTGTGACTGAAATCCCCTGCACCTAAATCCAAGCTGTACATGGATTCAGGTAGCTTCTCTCCCCTGTGTCTTATAAATACAAGGAAAAAAATTTCCCAATTTCCAGTGTATCTAGTGAGTATTATGAGTGAAGTCATTGTAATTATGCACCATGGTGCTGCTGCCTTTTACTCTTACTTGCTCTGATGGAGCAATCTCAATTGATAGAACCAAAGAAGGCTGGGCACAGTGGCTCACACCTGCAATCCTAGCACTCGGGGAGGCCAAGGTGGGTGGATTGCTTAAACTCAGGAGTTCAAGACGAGCCTGAGCAAGAGCAAGACCCCATCTCTAAAAATTGTGGCAGGCACCTGTAGTCCCAGCTACTCGGGAGGCTGAGGTAAGAGGATCATTTGACACCAAGAGTTTGAGTTTGCTGAGCTGTGACCCCTTGGCACTATACCAAGGGTGACAAAGTGAAATAATATCTCAAAAATAAAAAAAGATATAACCAAAGAAGTTTGCAGCATTAGAATAGTGATAGAGGGTTCATGTCTGTTGTCAGCAGAAATATAGAACTCAGTGAAACATCCCCAATGCACCTGTGTAAATGTCAACATATGTACAGTCCTATAAAGCAAAATGATTTCTAGACTGGGACTTGGGTTCCAGTGCCCATTCTACCAATAACTAACTTTGTCATCCTAGGCAGGTCACTGAACCTCATTTTCCTTAGATGAGAAAGCACAGGATGGTGTTCAGTGTGTAATAATCAGTATTTTAGTGAGAGTATAAGTTATTTTTTAACATCCTTATCAAGCTATAGTTCACATAACATATAATTTACTGATTGCAAGTTCACAGTTCAATGACTTTTAGTAGTGACAGCTTTGCACATCCAAGTATGAGTCATTGATGTTTAATTATATTTGATGATAATAACAAGGTATGAATTAATGATATACCAGTAATGTTTATTCATATTATAGTATTACTTGACCAAGCAATAATTTACTGCTAAGAGCTTGATCTAAACTGAATAGGAAATGTAGAACAGTAAGTGAACGTCTATTGAGAGTATACAACAGAGGGTGTGAGTAAATGGAAATGACTAACCCATTCTCTGTGGAACTGGTGAAACAAAGATTTAAACCTGTTTATCAGAAGGTACATAATGACATTGGTTAGCACTTTTTTTTATCTTCCTGAAGATGGAAAAATATTATCAAGAGAACATTCTGGGGTCAAAGATAAGCTATTGGGTCATTAAGTTAATTTTCAGATATACTGAGTGTAGAATATCTCAGTAGTATTTGTTTCCTTCAGCTTTTATTGGCTAAGTGCCGAGCACTTTATTAAATACTTCAATACCAAGGGCAGTCCTCCCTGCCGAGAAGGAGCTGACAATGTGGAGGGCCAGAATGGGGATGGGCAGAGAGTACAGAACATCAACCTTGACTGTAATGTGCCCAGGGAGGGAAGTGCCCTAATAAAGGGGCATAGAAATACCATGGAGACACGTGGCAGGACAGGCTAGCCTGACCTAGAGAAATATGAAAAGGCTTCATTAATGGACATACCACCTGAGGGTTGGAGGAGGCAGAGAAAGGCTATTGGGGGATGTCATCTAGGCAGACAGAATAGTATAAGCAAATGCTTAGAATCCTATAAGTTCCTGGAAGATCTGAAAAAAAAAAAAAAAAA